TTCCCGGAGCGTATCCAGTTTTCATCAACAACACGCGCAACAAGAGGGTCCGAGATCACATCATCGCTGTCGTATCCCCGCGCAGGGTCTCACCGCCAGTGGCGAGTCCACATTCTATCACGAAAACTCGTTCACATAGCTCTTGCACTCCGTTCTTTAATTCAGCGATATCATTAGACGACAAAAGGTTCTCCTTAGGAGGCTCCACGGCAAGACTTGGCAAGGTTGTGAAGGGAGTGAATTTCAGCTGGTTCTTGATGGCCACATTTTCGACAGTCAATTCTTCGATTTTCGATTCCAGGCACTTTACATGGTTAACAAATTTCTTAAGTTCGGGTATAAATTTTTCCCAATTAACTTTTGAGCCAGAAAAGTCAAAAGAAAAGTCGCAATCAGTCATGTTTCCAAAATATTCAAAATATTCCAAAAAGTGCGAAGTGGTGACGAGTCGTGTCAAGAGAAAGACAAACTGTTCAAGTCAACTGGATTGAGAATTGACGGAAAGGACTCGGAAATTTGCGATTTAATGGAGCGTAATGAACGGCTGAGACAGGAGCTTAAAGAAGCCAAAGCGGGTAACAAAGAAGCAACGTTCGAAAAGGAATGGGCGTTCCAGAAGGAAATACCAGTAGGTACGGGTAACGCATTTTTTAGTCGGCCGCCGGCCCAAGATAATTTTTCGTATTTGTCGTTGAGTCAGTCGCTAGGCTTTATGCCAGTAAATTCAGGTATTCCGTCGGCAGTTAATGGAAGTAGTGGTAGCACTCAAGTTTGCGGGGGTGTAGCAGCACCAGTTGGCCGTATTAGGGAAGCAGTGGTGCGTGAGCCACGCTCAGCGCAGCCGCCTATGCATAGTGCAGTGCATGCAGAGCCATCGCACTACGATATTCAGCAAGGTAATAGCATATCAGTTAACAGTGGCATTACAGCTGGCAAACATTCAGGTCAGGTTCCGTTTATTGTAAGTACTGGGTCACAGCAAGTTTGCGGGGGTGTATTGCATCCCGACGCACCTGTTGTTCAAGCAGTTCCTCAGGAAGTTAGGCAGTCAGTGTATAATCAAAATGTACACCAGGCAGTGCCGCCGCAAAACGTAGTACAGTGCCACCAACCCGGTATGTACGCGCAGCAGCAACAGCCGTTTGGTAATTTGAACGAAGAATTTTTACCTCCCCCACCAGACGATATTGTCATGCATGATGGCAGTGTCGATCGTCACAGTCCCGCGCGATCGTTGCATGGTGATGCACCGGCAGCACCAGCAATTGACCCTAACATTCGTTTTATTATGGAATCGCAGAACAAGGCGTTAGTTGAAATGGCGAAAGCTTTTGCAGTAAGAAGTGACAGAAGTAGTGGGCCAAGTAGGTCAGATACTTTTTTGCGATTGCAGCCGTATGAAGGCACTAAGAAGTCAGGTCCGATAGATCAGTGGCTCACCAGTGTCGACATGTGCATTTTGTCTAATAACTGGGATGACGAGAAAACTTGTAGAGCAGTGGCAGCGTCTTTGCGCAGTAATGCTGCAGCGTGGTTTAAAAAGCTTTTTGATGAAAATCCAGATGAGAGTTGGGAAGACTTTTTCCGTCCGAAATTACTGAAACATTTTAATTTAGCCGTAACTTCAGCAGATATGCGTCGTGAAATGAATGCTCGTATTTTCCGACACGACGATACGGTAGATACTTATACAGATAGTTTTTGTCGTTGGTTTGAAGAACTGAAATTACCTGAGGATGAGCGTGTGACTGCTCTCTTGGACGGTCTTAAAGCGAACAGGGAGAGCTGGTTCATGCAGTTGTATCCGCAGAACATTAAGACAGTCGATGATATGGTAGAGCGGTTACAGAAATTGGAGAAGATGCAGGCGTCCCTTGAAAGTGAAAAACGTAACAGTGGTAATTTTATCCCTCAGAAAAGTTTTGAATTTCGGAATTCGAATAATCGCGGTAATTTCAATAATAATAACCGTGGTAGCTATCAGAAGCAGTATAATAACTCAGGGAAATGGAATAATGTGCAACCCGTGCAGCACGGTGTGCCCATGTTCTACGATCAACAACCTCAGATGTTAGCTGGTGGACAGCCAGTGCCGGTCCCAGTGAACGTGAATGTTGGCATGCCACAAAATGGTAATGGTCAGCCTAACGGTAATTTCAGTAATAATGGAAATTTTAATAATAATGGTCAAAATTTTAATCGCGGTAATAACAATTTTAATCGTAATGGCAATTTTGGAAATAATGGCGGCTTTAATAATCAGCAGCAATTTAACGGTAATGTTCAGCAAAATGCTCAGCAGTTTAATGAAGATCAGATTCAGAGAGGAAGATGGCGTTTGGATAATGGCAGGGAAATTTGTTACAAGTGCGATAACTTGCACCCGGCACTGACTTGTGATCGGCCATTAGCCTGTCCCAGATTGCACGAACCTACGGCAGATATGTTAAGGCAGTTTGGTGCACAGGTTAATTTGCTTGAGTTTAAGGCGTACATTGAACATTATGCTCTGAGTACGAGTACTGTAGTTGACGTTAGTCAATATCCGGTAACGAATGAGGTCTGTCTGTTGCCCACTCTCGATGCACAAGCATTATACACGACGTTGACGTTCTTGGGTAAAAAGGTAAAAGTAATGATAGATACTGGTTCCAGTATCTCTATCATTCCTAACAAGTTGGCTAAGGAAATGGATTTATACATTTTCCAATGCCCGGATCGCATGAAAGGGTTGTTAGTGGAAGGAGCGTACGGTTCACGAGTGGTCGAGCCACTTTGTGCATTACTTAGTGTTTCGTCATTCGGTAATAGCTATGAACATGCTTGCTTAGTCAGTCCCGCCCTTGATCGAGATCATATTGTTCTCGGTATGGACTTTTTGTCGACCAAACCATTGATTTTTGATTTTAATGCGATGTCCTTGCGTCCTTCGCGCAGAGATCCTACGGTAAGAACCAATATGTTTTATCGTACCACACATAAAATGTCAGATGTTATTCGCGCTCACAAGTTTGATCCTCTCCTTCATCCACGTGCGAGAATTGGTCCTTCTTTGCCAGCGCTTATGCGCACAGAACGTATTGGAATTTGTAAAGAAGCGGAATTGGTGCCGTACAAAATGGTACATAGTGCTTTAGCACAGGACGCGCCTCAAGTTTTCGCTATGCAGTTTCGTTCCGCGGTAAAACAGTGGCCAGCCAAGCAGTATCCAGTGCAGACGCAGAATGTTCCACATTCTTCTACGGTAAGTCAGGCAGGAGTCGAACCCGGTTCTCAGTCAAGTTTGCGGGGGTATTCCCAACCAGCGACGGTGATGCACATGTCAGTACAAACCGATGGCGTAAGTGAAAATGTAAGTAAGCAAGTTTACGGAGATGTATCTAACGCTGTAACAGCGATACAACCGCTGTGTGAGCAGCTATTGGTTGAAATTCGTGAAAAGTTGAAAAAACTGGAAAGTATTGAGGAACAGTTTTTAAATGATATTCAGTATGTTGCAAGTTTACGGCAGCGAAATGGGTGTTCGGTGGAAGACGATGTTTCGGATGCAGTAGCACAGCAAGTTTGCGGGGGTGTATCTCAGTCAGCCGCCCAGCAGAGAGAAGTTACGAATGATATGCCGATAGATCGTAGTGCAGTGGATCCTAAGTCTGTCGATATGCGTGAACGCCTTGAGAGGTTGAAAGGTAATGATGAAGAACAGGTAGTTACGGTTTCCGGGAGTGAGCCAGTCCACTAAGATAATGTGGAAAGTACAGTAAGTGCTCGGGAACAGTGTATTAAAGCGTGTAAAGCACCGGAAGTGTGTAAGCCACCGTCGGGTGGAAGTTTGTAGTGATTACCGGTAATCACTGATTAACAGGCTGTTTAATGATGCGGTGTTGAGATGGAAATTCTAATGAAATTCAATTGAGTTTCCCCGTCTTACGTGACGGCAATTAATTTGCTAACGTGTGATTTTATGAATTAAAGTTGTGAGCCTTGTGGCAGTGTGTGATTGTGTTTGTGTATGACCTTTCCTCATCCCGTGCATTACCACCAGCACAGAACAGTCGTATTGGTCTCGAGGGCCGCTTTCCAGCAAACCTCGTTGAGAGACTTGAGAGTCTCGTTTTATGGCGCTCCTGGGTCTTCATGGGTTCGCGGAAGTCCCGCAAGCGTTCGCCGTTGTCTTCATCTGAATCTGATTCCTCTGGAGTATCGGACTCACGTCCTCCATCCCGTCCGCCTGTGAAGAAAGCAGCAGAAGACAGTCGTCCCGTGAAAGTTCAGTCTACACGGAAACCTGAGCTGCAGAAATCGTCTGTCGATAAACCTGCTGTCAAGCCTAGCTCGTCCAAGCCTTCCCCTTCACTCGAGTCTGTCATCGTCCCGAAACCTGTGGAGAAGCCGTACAGGATTCATAAGCTTCCCGCCAAGGAGTCCGAAAAGCGCTCTGCCTCAGTCGTGCCCGTAGAGAAGACGGAAAAGAAGAAGAAAACTGACGAGTCCGGAACCAGTTCCTCGTCATCAACAGCACGCAAGTCTACAGGTACAGTGATTAAATCACTGTTAATTTACCGTTTATCGTGGAAAAACTCGCATAATTGTGGACGTATTGCTACCGGACAGTTTCCAGCATAATTTTAACCAGTGTAAAATTACCTATTTATTACTCTCATCGTTAATTTTCTGGTGACCTTGAAATTACGATTCTATAAAATCTGCTTGTTCCTTGCTGAGATAAGCACTTTCGTAAATTTGAAAGGTCATTTCCGTGTTTGTCGGATATTTCCCGACTGCGTACCTGGATTCTGTCTGGGTCGCAGTCTCAGAACAATAACCTGTCACGTACAGGAAATTACCGTCTCGCGTTAAATTGATTGGCGCAAGCCACAATTGAGCTGTACAACAATACAGCAAAATTCCCGTTTGCGTTTCAATTACCAACAGTGATATTACCGCACTCGCATACCAGCGTATGCTATTAATTACCACTAATTACCGCTAATTACCGCATAATGGCTACTAAAGCTGAAGTGATTGAACAGCTGAATGCTACGCAAGATTCAGTGAAGCAGCTCAAGAAGCTGTGTGAGGTCTTGCGTATGCGTCCCGGTACTACCAAGGACGTTATGAAAAGCGATATCGCTGATCACCTCATTGCTCAGAAAATTACCCTCGCAAGCGTCGTTGAACGCCTGCCGAAGGATCCCGAACCTTTGTCCGATAATTCCCGTAGAATTGCGGATACTACCTCAAAGTCGACCGATGCAGCAAAAGCTGCCGAAGCTTCCCAGAAACAACCGGTTAACACCGATGTTCGGTCCACTGCGGATCCGGACAATCGGGCCGGTGGCAGTAAGGCTGCTGATTCTCGTACAGTTACCAATACAAGTACCGATACGAATGCGAGTACCGAACGCGATCCCGCAAATGAAGATATTGAAGCGATCAGTGATTCACAGACCCAAAAGTCCCGAACAGAATCTGAGTACCGTACCTTTTTGGGCACGCTAAACGATAATGAAAAGCGAGTCCTGGATAATATTCTTTTATTGCATGAAGAAACTGTCCGTCGGGATATCGAAAGCGAACGCAAGCAGATGCTTGATCGCATCGATCATCTCGAACGTGACCGAAATTCCGTCTCAATGTCCCAGCTTGTTGAAGCTTTATCGAAGATGAGTACTAATTCCCAGTCATCATCAACTACCGTTGATTCTCACAAAGTCTCCGTGAAAGATTTCGGTATTCAGAAATTCGCGAACAAGTCCGAACTGATTATTACCGATTTCTTCCGGCAATATGACCGTGCTACCAACAGTCTAGGTTGGTCAACATCAAAGAAGATTCTATTGTTACCTGCATACCTTGAAGATTCCCCTCGTAAATTCTTTGAGTCTATGTGGGAAGCGAATCAGAATACCGACTACGATGGATGGAAGTCCATCTTGGTCAAACGATACTTACCTGCTGATTACAAGCTCAATAAGCAAATCGAGTTGTCCCAGAAGACATTTAGACCTGGTCAAGATGTTGATACATTCTTTGACGAATTACAGGTCCTGTTCGACGAAGTAAACCCCTTAATGTCCGAAGACGACAAGATCGCAGAAATTACCCGAGCATTCATGAATATACCCGAGTACCGCAAGTTACTGGCAGTCACTGATGCCAAGTCAGTTGACAAGATGCGATCAGTGCTGACCAAAATTGCGAACATTGATAAGACCGATACTCCCGTGGTTCAGAATGTTACCTGTGATAATGCTGAAGTGAATTTCATGAAGAATAATTCCCAGTCGAATTACCGTGGCAGAAGCCGTTCTCGTGATAACCGTGATCGGAACTGTGAACGTTCTGATAGTTCGAAGTACCGTGATTACCGACGTGACCGCAGTCGCAGTTACGATCGTAATTACCGGAGTAACCGAACTTATGCCCGGCAGTTCCGTGATAACCTGTTCCGTGATCGCAGAGATACCCGTGACTATGACCGTAACCGTGATCGTTCTCGTGAGAGGTCCCGTGACCGGGACCGATCGCGAAGTTCGGATCGTTATCCTACCCGCCGAAAGTCTAATTCCCGTGAACGTCGTGATGCACCTGTGACTGAATGGAGATTCCCTCGAAACGAACTTGATTTCGAAAGCTACCGACTACGGTCTGGTAAGCTGTTCTGTCCCGTGTGTCTCGATTACCGTCATACCTTTAAGCAATGTACCAAAGCGAAACCACAGGACCTTGAGCACGTTGAGCCGAAGTGTCCTCGTGGTGTGCTGTACCGTGTTCAGAAAGAATACGATGACTTCATCCGTGACAATTATACCCCTGATTTTTGGGAGTCCCGTGAGGGAAAAGCCTAATGCCACATCAGAAAGGAGGTCAATGTGGCAGATATTACCGAAAGCCTCCCTACCGTTATGACAAGTGCCGACATTTTAAGTATGGTGGTCAATTTCCTAACAGAAGTACCAATCAGAATGTCGATGTGAATGATTTCTCAGTCAGATTTTCAGATAATTACGTGAATACCGTTAAAAGTGACCCTAATAAAACCCCGTTTCGTTCTTTTGGGATGCCTGATATTGTGAAACCAGTGTATGCACCAGCAATCATCAATAACCAAAAGGTCATCGTGTTAGTTGACACCGGTGCTAGCTGTTCCATTATCAGCGAGCACACAGCTTCGAAATTGCGTTTGCAATTTCGAAGGTGTGATTCCAAAGCTCCCAAATTGAACTTCACTACTATTTCCCAAACCTTTCAAAAGGATGAAATGTACCAATCTGATATTACCGTTGAACTGAATGGCAGAATAATTCCCCATAAAGCTTATATTATCTGTAACTCTCCGAGAGAATTTGTGATCCTTGGAAATGATTTCTGCAAAGCATCTGGCGTTTGGATACATCCCAAAACCGATCGCTTATGCTTTGAAGGAGACCTGAAACCTGAAACTTCTAAGAAGATTCAGATTAATAGTACTATCATTTCTGACCTGCAAGATTTGCATTACTCTCAGAAGAGTTTTGTACCTAATTACCTCTTGAGGCAAGTGTACAGTACCGGTAATAAAGCTGTCTTAAATCCCATTCCTGAAAACCAAGTTCCTACTACCGTAAATACCGCAGTTGTTAATGTACCAAGTGAAGACAAGACTGTGTCAGTTGAAGTTTCTAAAACAGATGCTGTGCAGTCTCCTTCCACTCCAGTTGATACTACAGTACCTACTGAAGGAATTGTCAATGAACCTGAGGCTATAATCAATCACATTGGTCTGAGATGGGAGAAAACGAATATTCTTATTCAGAATACCATCATAATTCCCAAGAAATCCGGAATTAAACTCATGATTGATTTACCAGACAATTACAGTAGTCCTGTGTTGTTAACTCCCAATAAGAACCTAATGTTGAATCACCTGGTATCAGTCGGCAATTGTCTTGCTACCTCAGTTAATGGCAAAGCAGAGATATTAATTACCAACTTCTCGCAGCGTAAAGTCCGTATTAAAAAGAACGTTAACGTTTGTACCTGTGAGAAAGTTGATGATCTTGCCGACATCAACGTGGTTGAAGTAGAATTAAATTCTACTGTAACTACCACTGAAAATGACCCGAAGACCAGTGATTCCAACCTAACCGACGAAGAATTCAAAGAACACATTACCAAGATGAAGTTTAATCCTAAATTACCAAATTCTGATCATCAGAAGCTAATTAACATGTTTCTGAAACATAAGAAGGTGTTTCCTTCTAAATCTCGTAAACTTGGTGAATTTTCCGAGGTTGTCCATGAAATTGATACCGCAGACAACAAACCTGTTAAGAAAACACCTTGGCGGACTTCCTACGCTCAGAGAATGACCATTAACGAACAAGTGGATGAAATGTTGCGTGATGGCATAATTCGTGAGTCGAAGTCACCTTGGTCGTTCCCCGTTGTCCTGGTCAATAAGAAAGATCCTACTGACAAACCTCGATTTTGTGTAGATTTCCGTGCGTTAAATAAACTGACTAATCGTCCCATGTGGCCTTTACTACGAGTGGAAGATGCGATTAGTAGTTTTGGAAAGTCCCAATTTTATACTTCCCTCGACTTTAACAGTGGATTTTGGCAAATCCGTGTTAAAGATACTGATATTCCCAAGTGCTCATTCGTGACCATGGATGGCCAGTACGAATTCGTTCGTATGCCATTTGGTCTGAATGGAGCTACAGCTACCTTCCAGCGTGCAATCGATTCCATCCTACACCACCTTAAGTGGAAAGGTGTAGTGTGTTATATTGATGATGTTCTTATCGGTGGGCATACCTTTGAAGAGCATTTAAATTTACTCGATCAAGTTTTGACCGCCGTGTCAAAAGCTGGATTCACGATTAGTCCCAAGAAGTGTGAAATTGCTTTCAACCAGATAAAATTCCTCGGATTTATCCTGAGTAACGACGGAATCAAACCAGATCCGTCTAAGGTTGAAGCAATTCAGAATTTTGCGATTCCTACAACACCGAAAGAAATAAAATCCTTTATCGGCGCTTTAACTTATTACCTTGCATTCATTAATAATTTCTCCACGATTGCATTTCCCCTAATTCAGTTGACCAAGCAAAATGTTGCTTTTCAGTGGACGAAAGCCTGTAATACCGCTTTTCAGAAGCTGAAAGAATGCCTTATTACCGCTCCGATATTAAAACCATTCAATCCCACGCTAGAGACGCAGATTAAGACCTCTGGTGTTGGTGTGGGCGTAATTGCTGAACAAATGCATCCCGATGGATGGCATGTGGTCGCATATGGTTCGAAAATGCTTGACAAGCATCAGAAGAACTATAGTACCACTGAGAAAGAATGTTACGCTATCGTTTGGTTCGTTAAAAAGTATAAACACTACCTTACCGGAAAGAAATTTAAAATAATTACCGATCATAATGCCTTAAGGTACCTAATGCGTCTCAAAGAACCTGAAGGTCGTCTGAACCGATGGGCCTTATCCTTACAGCAGTATGACTTTGAGATTGAGTACCGTAAGGGCCGTTTGCATGCCGATGCAGACTTATTAAGCCGTAATCCCTTCGAAAAGTCCGAAAAAAACGAAGATGACTGCGAAATTCCCTTATATGCCATTAATACCTATATTCACTTTGAGATTAAAAATACCGAATTGCTCATACGTGAGCAAATGACCGACGCATTCTGTCAGAAAATTGTTACCATATTGAGTGATCCAGAAAAATACGTTAAATTACGGAAAGCGTACCAGAAACGTATCGACACATTCCGAATTGTCGATAAAGTTCTCTATAAAGTACGTTCGCGTCATGGTAAAAATACCTTGTTAATTGTGTTACCGAAGACGTTACGTGCAGACATCCTTTATGCATGTCATGACTGTCCGATGGCAGGACATGTTGGTTATCATCGTACATTCGAGAAAATGCATAACCGCTACTTCTTCCCTAGGATGACCAAATATATCGAAACCTACTGTGAGAGCTGTCACTTGTGTAAAAAGCGCAATGCCATGAATATTGCTCCTACCGGGTACATGCAGAAATTACGTACTCATAAGCTACTTGAGTCGTAGTCTCTAGATCACCTTGGGCCCTTCCATGTAAAAGATGGATACCAATACCTGCTTGTAGCTGTTGAGAATTTTTCCCGTTATGCGATTGCAGTTCCCGTTAGGACTACCAGTGCGATTGAGATAGCACAGGTTGTTCTTACAGAAATTATCCTTAAATTCGGTCCCCCTAAATACCTTACTTCAGACCGTGGAACTGGATTTACCAGTCATATTATCGCAGCGATCAATAAGCTGATCGGTATACAACACCGTTTTACCACAGCTTATCACCCTCAGTCTAATACCCGTGCTGAGAGAATGATGCGATTTATCGGTGAAAAACTGACCATGTATATTAACCAGAAACAAGATAACTGGGTTGAATACGCTAAATTTATCATTTATGCGTATAATACGACTCAGCATAGTACCACAAACGCCTCTCCATATTACCTTATGTTTGCTACCGAACCTATATTGACCGTTGATACCATCTTTAAAAATGCCAGTTTGCAAGAAATCAGTAAGCAGACTAATGCCGAATACTGGAATGAGTTACGGCAGAAGTGGAAAAATGCTCTTGATTTCTCTGAAATATTAAGTGAGCGTGTGCACGAGAAAAATGCACAAAATTACGATAAAAATAAAGTTGAAAATCCCTTTATTATCGGTGATAAAGTATGGGTCAAAGATGAACAGCGTACCGTTGGTCGAACTCAGAAATTAGAATTGAAGTTCAAAGGTCCATACGAAATTACCGAATTAAGTCCCGATGGAAACGTTACCTTAAAGTCCCTTCAGAAAGTTCCAAAAAATAACCTGATTAATATTGTCCATATTTCCGAATTAAAACGGTTTAAACCGATCGATTTGGATGTAGAGGACAGTGAAAATGACTATTTACGCCGTATATTCCCTCAGAAATCTAGTATTTCTGACAATATTACCGTACAGAAATTACCCAATACTGTGACTACCGACGTGGGCAATCCTAAAGTACCAACTGTTGAGCCAGTTAGCTCTGAAAACGACGAAACGAATGTCCTTAGACGATCTGATCGTATTCGTAAACAAGCGAAATCTGTACTAAATAACTTATACGAATACTTCGCGTAAAGTCGTGTGGTCGTCGTCTCCAAAATGACCGTTAAAATATAGATTACCATTTCCGTAATTCCCTTTAATGCCTAAATTCCCATAATGGTGATTTACCATGTAAACTTAAATTACCAACATACAGTAATATACCCAGATTAATAAATTCCCTGAAATTAAATGGCTCACATATGTTGATAGACTGTTTGAAAGTCGCGCATCACCACCGGATGCTGCTACCCGCATCATTCTCCGTTCCCGTTGGATGGATCGTGTTCTCAATTGGATGGACGTTCCTTGCTTAAATGGATCGCTACCGTCCGAAATTTTGCCTTCGACACCAAATGGATTTGTTCCATTTGTATCGCACACGTGCCGTTCCATTTTCCTTCATCCTGTTGCCAAAGTTTACTTGGATCTCTAACCGTAACTTTGTGTTGTTTAACCGTGGTTTTGGATTGTTTGTGTTGTTGTTTTACGGAGGACAGGTATTTCCTCCTCTTAAAGAGGGGGGTAAAGCGTGTAAAGCACCGGAAGTGTGTAAGCCACCGTCGGGTGGAAGTTTGTAGTGATTACCGGTAATCACTGATTAACAGGCTGTTTAATGATGCGGTGTTGAGATGGAAATTCTAATGAAATTCAATTGAGTTTCTCCGTCTTACGTGACGGCAATTAATTTGCTAACGTGTGATTTTATGAATTAAA